ACACAAAACTACCGAGACAGTCCCGAAATCAAACCTCTAGGCCTTTTTCTGTAATAACCACTAAATATGTGGCAAAAAAACAACAACACAAAACTACCGAGACAGTCCCGAAATCAAACCTCTAGGCCTTTTTCTGTAATAACCACTAAATATGTGGCAAAAAAACAACAACACAAAACTACCGGGAGAGTCCCGAAATCAAACCTCTAGGCCTTTTTCTGTAATAACCACTAAATATGTGGCAAAAAAACAACACAAAACTGCCGGGAGAGTCCCGAAATCAAACCTCTAGGCCTTTTTCTGTAATAACCACTAAATATGTGGCAAAAAAACAACACAAAACTGCCGGGAGAGTCCCGAAATCAAACCTCTAGGCCTTTTTCTGTAATAACCAAACGACCCCAAAACGAGTTGTTTCTTGGTCTTTTAGACACAGGTCGGTGAGAAAAGAAAAAGCTTGTAAAAGTAGTGTTGCTTACATTTTAATACGATAAAGACTACATTTTACGTTAGTGGGAAGTGTATAGCAAGGAAACAACAATCACTGAGCGTTCAAACAAGATTCCATTCTTAGCCTGACATATTTACACAGTACAGAATGGTCTCTTTCAAAAGGAACACATTTCGGCAACAACCATTCAAATAATATAAATTGTATCTCGATACACTGACATCTAGCGGGAAAGTATCAAGTACCCACAAAGCTTTGGTTCTAAAAGTGTTATTACACACAGCGAATTTAGTAAAAAAGAAAAAAATGCAAGGATTATCTGTCAGGGGGTCACTCCGAACTAACATATTCGGGGGAATAAACTCCCAATTTGTAACAGTCGTTAACTCCCCATTCAAAGAATGAGTATGACTTTATAATATACAAAAATTGCCCCCCCCCCCAAGACTACAGAATATAATTGTTGTGATGTGTAACATTCACGAGAAGATACACTCGGATATCATAACTACACGATCCTGTATATATACGTAATAGATGTTTTTCTCGAAGTTACAACGTTTGAAAATGGTTGGTTTGATTTCTTCCAACTGAGAATTAAGGATGTCCTGTTTTCAAAGCGAATATTATCACTGTATGTTAGAAGGTACTAACCAAGTAAGTATTATCACGGTATATTAGAAGGTACTAACCAAGTAAGTATCATCACGGTATGTTAGAAGGTACTAACCAAGTGAATATTATCACTGTATGTTAGAAGGTACTAACCAAGTAAGTATCATCACGGTATGTTAGAAGGTACTAACCAAGTGAATATTATCACTGTATGTTAGAAGGTACTAACCAAGTAAGTATTATCACGGTATGTTAGAAGGTACTAACCAAGTAAGTATCATCACAGTATGTTAGAAGGTACTAACCAAGTGAATATTATCACTGTATGTTAGAAGGTACTAACCAAGTAAGTATCATCACTGTATGTTAGAAGGTACTAACCAAGTAAGTATTATCACGGTATATTAGAAGGTACTAACCAAGTAAGTATCATCACGGTATGTTAGAAGGTACTAACCAAGTAAGTATTATCACGGTATATTAGAAGGTACTAACCAAGTGAATATTATCACTGTATATTAGAAGGTACTAACCAAGTAAGTATTATCACTGTATGTTAGAAGGTACTAACCAAGTAAGTATTATCACGGTATATTAGAAGGTATTAACCAAGTAAGTATCATAACAGTATAAGGTAACGTTTGGTCCTACAATTGGTGTATTATCTTTAAAACGTTCATGAAAGACGAATAAAAAAAAAAGACATCCGAGATTCAGAGGATAGTGTTGTTATTGGTTGTAACCACATGTAACAGTGCTAGCAAGGAATCCTTTCAGGTTTACTTAGTTAAAATTAACTACTTTGTTCTTTATATTCGTGTGTGAAAAAAAGGGGAACACTTACCACTCTTTTACTCTGGCCGATATGACATATCTTGTTCTCACCTTCCTATAGCAGTATTTGTTCCAAGCTGACATCACTTCGTGAAGGTGGTTTAAATACCACAATCCGATGGCGTTGTATTCCTCCGCCAAACCGACTATTGATACATTGTGTTTGTAAACCAGAACGGCTGTAAGGCAGAAAGTTCTTATAAACGGTATCGTGTTGATGATCTCAAATCAGTTCACTGTCCACCAATAGTGACACACGCACTATTTTGTTTACGTGGAAGAATACGGTCATTAGCAGTCGTATAGCCAATCGCACGTGTTAGAAAATACGTCAGGAAAATCGAGTACCAGAATTAAACTTCGGTATAACTGGTCTGTGCCGGTTCTGCTCTCCCTCCCTCCAAGTCTTTGCCGCCGAGACACTGTTTATCGATCTTTACGGAAAACGTTCAAATACATTTTGTGGAGTTTGCGTGATAACCACGAAGTATGTAGGAAGGGGCAGTTTAGACTAGTCTTTTATAAGATGTTGAATACAAGCGAAATAGACCAATCATATCATAATATACTATAAACGTCTCGAACACCAAACTTAAAAGCTACAAGACGGTTCTTGTTTAGAATTCTGTCCTAGTGTTAGAACTGTAACACATGAACTAATGTTACACTTTCTGTATTACTAGCAGGTGAATTGATAACTCAGTGTTAGAACTGTAACACATGAACTAATGTTTCACTTTTTGTATTACTAATAGGTGAATTGGTAACTTAGTGTAAGAACTGTAACACATGAACTAATGTTTCACTTTCTGTATTACTAGCAGGTGAATTGATAACTCAGTGTTAGAACTGTAACACATGAACTAATGTTTCACTTTCTGTATTACT